AAGCTTTGCTTAGGCGTTTCCCAAGAACTGAAAACCGCCACTTATTTATTGTTATTTATTTATTTTTTAATTTTTTAATCTACTGTAATTATTGAAAATATACTAACATCTATTGTAGACAAGAATATGTTTGTGAATTGAATAAATTGATCGATTGATTGATATCAATTACTAAATTATTTGTAATATATACTCCAATTGTTTTCTTGAATGATGACAATGAACAGCTTGATTTCATGGAATTGTGTTGGTTAGTTCTGTTTACATATAATAGATCAAGATTTCTTGTGTCGTGGTTATGTATGTTAGATGTAATATTAATGAAGGATAAAGTAGGATGGTGACATTTTATTGAGAATTTTATAAATAAAAATTATGATGATATATAAAAAACTCTGTGGTACTGAAAACCACTGCAACGACTCCAACAGTATGGACGAGCAGTAATCGAAATGTGGTTGTATTATGGATTGATATACAAGTATTCTGGTTTCCATAGTCAAATCTTTACTTATTCTTGAAAATAAGTAAAGTTTCCTTGATTTTTTTTTATAAATATAATTGCAATCATCATTTAGCAGCAACAAATAATTCAGTTGGAATCCAAGATATTTCATGGTGGTTACAATATTGATTTATTTTTCATTATTAATATTTAAACTAATTTCATTGACATTTATGTTATTGAATTTGTACTTGGATGTAATTATCATTGCCTCAGTTTTACCTATGTCAAGTTTCAGTCTATTTATTTTCAAGTACTTACTCACATTCTCAAGTGTAGCATTTATCTTATGGATAGCATTCTCTAAATTGAAATCAAAAGAAGCAAGTAATGTATCATCTTCGAAAACATTGATGAAATAATTTTTTACAAAAAGATCTGTATCATTAAGGTATAGAATAAACAATAACGGTCCTAAGACACTACATCATCAACTTTAACTTTCTGTTTTCTTCCAGTCAAATAATCTGCAAACCATTTCAATACACTACCACCCATACCATACCCATACCCCTTCAGTTTAATTAAGATAATCCTTCGGTCAATGGTTTCAAATGTTCTCTTCAGATCTAAAAATACTACAACTACGTATTTGTTATCATCTACCTCTTTCTTAAAATTGCAGAACCTACTACTCTATAATTTTCATTTATAAACTAGTGAATAATCTGATTGACTGTCCCGAACTACTCTCCCACTTCAACTTTCATGTTCCACGAATCAATTCTAGAAATGAACTGACTTTTTATCTACCAAATTCTAGAACAAACATATTACGTCGAAGTACTTTTCTTGACGTGTCAACTGA